AAAAATGTCGACAGTGCCCGCCAGGAGATAGAGATGCACATAGCCATGCGTACAGGGAACTACATTGAGCTGAATAAAGAGAATGATTTCCATTACAATGGTACGGATGTGAGCTTTGAAGGAGGCACTCTTGGATATGCATGGCTTGCTTCTAATCCTGTCCCTCCTAGCTGCAACAGAATGATTTCTAATTATAGAAATGACAGCTCCAGTTCCTTGGGAAGTGGCTCCACAGATTCCTATTTTGGAAGCAATAGATTAGCTGACTTGAGCCCAACAAGTCCATTCAGCACAGGCAACTTCTGGTTTGGAGAGACGCTGCCTTCAGTGGGCATGGAAGACCTTGTGGTTGCTTCTCCTGCATATGACTCCTTATCAATGCCTTCCCAAACCATTTGGACTCCTTTTGAACCTGTAAACCCTCCCTCTGGCTTTGGTAGTGACCCTGCTAGTAATGCTGAGCTTCAGTGCCGAGGGAGCCACCCATCTACTCCTTGCTTGTCACCCACATTTCGAGAAAACCTGGATCACCCGCTAGCTAGGAGAGTGAGGAGTGACCCACCTAGTACTGGCCACCAAGCTGGCCTTCCCATATGCATTCCCGCTTTCTCCAATGGTACCAACAGCTATTCCTCTTCCAATGGCGGCTCCATGTCCAGCTCTCCCCCTGAGTCAAGACGGAAGCATGATTGTGTGATCTGCTTCAAGAGTGAAGTTGTTGCAGCCCTGGTCCCCTGTGGCCACAATCTCTTCTGCATGGAGTGTGCCAACAAAATCTGTGAAAAGGAAATGCCATTATGTCCTGTTTGCCTGACAGCTGTTACTCAGGCAATCCAAATTCACTCTTAAATACGTATATATGGACTTTTAAAACTCTTAAAGGCATGGGTGTAATGATACCCTCTAGTAAACTTCCTAATGAATTCTGACTGTTGGGCTTTCTTGGGATCAGGCTGAAGTTATTAATAAATGTCTGCTTTCTCAAAAGGCTGCTATGGTAACACTAAAGCTAGGTGGTCTGTGTGTAAGCAGATGGCATGTTTAGATGAGATACATCTGCTGTGATGTTATGCCACACTGAGGGGAAGTTTTCATCAATTACACAACTGGGAAAAAAATACAAACACTACAGGCTTTCTAAAGGATTTCTGTTAAATGTTTGACTTGTGTGCCAGCAGCAATGTAGAAATGTAGAAGCATTTATCTGCTATGGAGGGTTTGTGGCATTATCAATATATCAAACAACACTTCCAATGCTGCCTTCTTTACACTGCCAGTTTTCAAAAATAGGTCTGGGGAAATTATTATTGCTTTGTGTGACAACTTATGCCTAATTCTTCAGCATTGCAGATACCTTGTCAATAAATCACACTATGCTTTAAAAATGGACATTATTGGCAGATTCAGATAATAAATGACAGTGGGTGGGTGGAGAAGCTGCCTGATGTCTAAGGGAAGTATGTTCAGAGGATTGGGAATGTCTCAATTTGTGAATTCTTAACCACTGCTTTTATTAATATAATGTGGAAAAGTCTGGCTGGCTTCATTCCATTTCAGTAAGGGCTTTGGGATGCACATACTTCAACTTCTAGTGAGGATGCTAACATTCCATTCGTTAGTCCAATCAAGCTGTTCTTTAATTACATTTTTAGAGTCTATAGTTCAAAATGTGAAGCATTTTTGTTCAATCCATATTTGTCTTGCGTATAAATATATAATTTTTAGAAAGGGAAAAAGGGGGAGTTGCATATGTGCCCTTGTATTCGTGACAGTGGCCCTGCAATCAGTTTACTTCATTTCAAAACTGTCTCTCCTATCATAAGGAAAAAGACTTTTGAATGTGCTTCTTACATTTCAACCTGTGGATGTTTCTAGCTTTTTCATCCTCAATACTTTCCCAAATCTGTGCTGTCATATATTAAACCAACAAAAACATAAGACACGAAGTGGAGTTCTGGTGGATTTTTCTATTTTTCTTGAAGCATTATTTTCCAAGACAAAGCTTTTTTTCTCAGTATAACAAAAAAATTCTGTGTGTATTGAACTAGTAAATATGCAGAAAATTTAATTTTTTATGTCCACTTCAACAGTTACATTTTGTATAAAAGTTTACAAATAACTTTATTTTATGATTTTCAGTATGAGTTGCCTTGATGGCAATATTACGTACTGTATAACTTCAATGCTATAATTGCTTATAGAATACTTACATGTCAGTATTGAAACTTAATCTCTAGCTGCAGTTTTGTAGATATGTACAAAAGTTCACTGAGCGTGTATTTTATTGCATTGTACGCTGCAACTAGTAAGCCAAGGAATCAACAGACATTAGGTGTGTTGTACCATTTCTATAAACCACAAACTAAGAATGATAATGATCAATATAGTTTAGTATTTACTAACTTTACTACACTTTGTTATGTATATGTAGGGAGGTCATAGGGATTATAAATTTGAATAAAGTTTAAAAACAATATATTTTATGATAAATGGCCTTTTATTTATGATGGCCAAAGCACTGATATTATATATTTGCTGTAAAGAGAATTGAAAGGTTTATTTTTCTTATATTGAAGTTACTTAATAAAGACTTGTTTCCATAAACTTGAATGTTTTACTGTCTTCATGGTTGTTGCTTGGAGCAGCCTGGGGAGGCTGGGTCTGGCTGACATCCCCTTCCCACCTAGGGGGTTTCCCCAGTGCTTAATACACCACGGACTTCACCTTGTTGCTGTGTGACTTCATGTGTGACAACAAATCTTGTTTTCTGTTAATTTTTGGTTTTACATGCTGTCTTCAAAAAAACAGCCTGTGGTCTTCTGGGGGTACAGCTGCAGTCTGTTGTAATGCTCAGGAACTGATATTTCAGAGTTGTTTCAGTGCAGCTGCAAGGTAAACTCCCTGTGCTCATATTTGTGAGCATCAAATAGCAGAAATCATAGAATCATAGAATCGTTTGGTTTGGAAGGGACCTTTAAATGTCATCTAGTCCAACTCCCTTGCAGTGAGCAGGGACACCTTCAACTAGATCAGGTTTCTCAGAGCCCTGTCCAACCTGACCTTGAATGTTTCCAAGGATGGGGCATCTACCACCTCTGGGCAACCTGGTCCAGTGTTCCACCACCCTCAGCGTAAAAAATTTCTTCCTTATACCTAGCCTGAATCTTCCCTCCTTTAGTTTAAAAACATTATCCCTTGTCCTGTTGCTACAGGCCATATATTAAAAGGTCTGTCTCCATCCTTCTTGCAAGCCCCCTTTAAGTACCGGAAGGCTGCTATGAGGTCTCCCTGGAGCCGCCTTTTCTCTGAGCTGAAGAACCCCAACTCTCAGTCTGTCCTCATAGGAGAGGTGCTTCAGCCCTCTGATCATCTATGTGGCCTCCTCTGGATCTGTTTCAATGGAGTATTGTGAAAGGATCTCCTGATGTTGTTGCATGGGTCTCCTGTTGTGTTTTCTCCCAGTCTGATGGAGGTTTGCATCCTCTGCCTGGTACAGAGCGCTTTAATGTTTTCTTCTAGTGTCATCATGGCTCCTCTTTACCATTAGCTGCCTTCTCTTAGCTCTTCTCTTTCAGTTCTGGTTTTGCTGTTGGAAGGAGCCCGACTGTCGTCTCCTTAGCCTGGGTGTTGTGCTGGCTGATGTTGTAGTGTATTTGAATACTTTAGTGACCCTTCCCTATTTCTTGCCAACAGGGACCTGTGAGAGGGAGCAGTTCCCCTCCAGGAAGGAGGTTTGCAGAAAAGCAGAGCACCTGAATGTTGATGGACTTTTCTCTGGGATGAAGGAAAGTGACAGCCATGGTTAATAGGTGCCATTAATTAGGTCGTGGGCAAACCACTCGACTTCGTGAAGAAAAATTCATTTGTTCAGTGACCAATCAATCCCCCACCCCATCCTTCGTCCCGGGCTACCTCCTCCCTTCCCAGCAACTCGGGGGCTGGGGGGTTTCCCAGTCAGTTCACCACACAGTCTCCATCGCTCTTTCCTCCTTGGGGGGACTAAGGAGACAGAGGAGTCCTGCAAAAGTTAACGATTCAAATAAAGGGAGAGTTCATGGGGCATATATATATATCCCTGTGGGATCTCTCAAATTGCTGGAGGACGCAGCCTCCTTTTATCCTTATCTCCTGACCTCATATGATCGTCTTCCTTTCCCCATTGCTTGAGGTACTAGGAAGTTACAGACTTCCCGATTCGCCTACTACATATTCCCCCTTAACATGTACACCCCCTCAGATCATGAATCATATATCTCGTTAACTCTAATTTATGCTTCCCCTGTGAGAAA